TTCCTGGACCTTCCCCGCCTCATCCCACTGTCTCCCTCGCAGGAGCGATCCCGAATATTAATATTCCACGTGTTCCGGCGGCACTTGACCGGAACCGCCGACCCTCTTCCGCGCGGCGCGCCGTAAACGGGCAAAAGGCGCATGCAAGCGGAATGTGTCGGTGCATGTGTCTGCCGCAGCCAGGAAAGGTGTCTATTATTGTAATTGCCCCAGTTAGTGTTTTGGCAGCAGAAGCGCAGGCAGCCCTCGCTGCGCCTCGGGCTTCAAACTGTTCTCTGCTACATGTGGAGGTTTTGTAACAGCTTGCAGTGGCCTTTGTGAACCCGCCACGCATGAGTCATCCCGCAGTGATGCAAACGCGGGAGGCCGGCCGGCGTACCTTTATCCAGCACGGGGCCGAAGATGGCGAGGTTGTCTTTGATGGTGGTGCAGTTCCAACGCCGCCCGCGGAACTGGTGCTGGCACTCCTGGATGCCCAGTTTGACTCCCTCGGCCACGCTGGGCATGATCTCGATGTAGTTGCGGCAGAAGCGCAGCTGCTTGGGCACCAGGCCCGGGATGGAGCCGCACGGGATGGGTTGGGAGCCCAACGATGAGTACTGATTTCAGGGGGGGGGGGGGGGGGGGGGGGGGGGCGACAACATCACTCAGCATCTCGGGGAAACGGCAGACCTCCGACATCCGAGATACCCGCGTATCGAGGGACCGCGTTTTGCCGCGAGACACCCGAGTAAGTCGAAAGTCAAGAGCCTTTTTTATTCCCGATTCATCGACAAGACTTTTAAGGCATCGGAGTAAATGATGTCAAGGGTCTTTATCTTAATTCATTTGAGGATTTCGGCTTCTTCTGATCCGTCACCCCTTCAAGTCTTGAGTAACGAGTTCAAAGTCAAGTCTGTCTTTGACTTGCTCTTTCCTCGACGAGACTTTTAAGGCAGTGGCGTCAAGAATCTTTACCGTTTTTGTGATCCGCAACATATCGGTCACTGGTTTGGTTTCCAGTCCAAACTGAGTAACGAGTTCAAAGTCAAGTCTGTCTTTGACTTTGCTCTTTCCTCGATGAGACTTTTAAGGCAGTGCCGTCAAGAATCTTTCCCATTTTGGTTCTGGTTTGGTTTCCAGTCCAAACATCATCGAGTCCAAACTTAGGAGTCGAAAGGGGTCCAAAGTCTTGACTTCGGTTTGCTTAAATCTTTGACTGTCACGTCTTTTACTTCTTCATTGACTGAAGACTGAAGAGGTCGGCGTCAAAAGCTGCTCTCAACATGTCACGGGAATCAGGTGAGTCCATGAGATTCATTCAAATCAACAAATGAAGTCAGATGTCATCCTGTGACTTATTTTCTTTCATTCAGGACAAATTCCTCCCTCCCAGTTTGTGTCCTCCGTGAACTTGCTGCATTCCCAATGATGGTGACGTGCCGAGGGCGTTTGTGGGGGGATGGAAACGTGCCGCACCGCTCCGGCAGCCTCCTTCGACTCTTGACGGCGCAAAAGCGTTCGCGGTGAGTCTCACTCATGTCCTCAACGCTGACAGCTCCCGTTGATTTATTGGCGGACCGAGGGGATGCCTCTCAATCAGGGCTCCGACTCGAGACTTTGGAGTTCTGCATCCATTTATGCGCAAATAAGATCGATTCGCCGTCCGGCGCGCCCCGAGCCGCCAGGCGCTGTCATTTTCTGCTGACCGCACAAAGAGAAGGCAAAGGGCTGCGTCCATGTTTTAACACGCAAAGCTCTCATGACAAGCTCAGGCGAAGGCTCAACAAAGAGTTTGGCATTGACCGGACAAACGTGACGCAAAGCGATTTCTTCTGTTCTTTGATGAGGATTGCTTCCGTTTGATTTGCGGGCTGGAAAAGGAGTGTGGGGGGGGGGGGCGCAACATTGACAGCCCCCCTGTCAGCACCCGCGCAGCACAAAGTCAAGTATGAATACAATTTTGCAACGACAGCCGAACCCCCTGAGCTCACTCCAGGGCGTTAAGCGTTAAATTAGCAATGCTATCTTTCAACCTGTCTGTCTGTCTGTCTCTCATTTTGCAATCTCATCTAATCGAATCATTTTTGCTTTGTTGCTAGCCAAATTCAAGCGAGCTTCAGACACTCTGCCAGCAAAAGTCACCGCATCTGGCCTCCATCACTTGGCATCCTTGCTGCGCATGAAAAGTCCAGGTACGTACGTGTCTTTCTATCAAGATAGCATATCGACCGCTCCGGTCCCGCCCACCTGCCCGCCCGCCCGCCCGCCTTCCCTCCTGCTTTTCCGGGCTTCTTGTAAGCCGCGAGCAACATGTCCCGACCGGGGCGGCGAACGGCAGACCTCCGCGGAGGCAGCCAGCCATGCGGGGGAATCTGCTGCAGGCGCTGCAGGGACAAACGGCAAAGAGCGGCGGTGGTGGCGGCGGCGGCCCACTGCAGGCTTTGGCAGGTGCGTGCCCCGGCAAGTCCTGCGTGGGGCCTCTTCTTGCCCGGGGGGGCTTTACGACCTAGTTGGGGGTTTTCTCTGGAGCCAATCTCAATGGGCCCATATGTGAAAGTACAGTAGCACCTTCACGTACGGTTTCAATTCACTCATGGAATCGATTCTCCCCTTTGAAATGAGTTCAAATGCCATCACTTTGTTTTGTTCCCCCTCACCCCTCCAAAAAACGGGACCCATTTATAGGGAGGAAAAATAGGAGTTTATTGTAAAGTAAATATGAAAACATTCTCAAACATAATCCAAGAGAATGAAAATAAACAAAGTGCCTCATGTGGTGGTGTGCCTTGAATGGGGCGTGGCCCCGTGGGAGCCGTAAGTCGCCGCTTCGGAAAATTTGCTCCAAAATGATGTTAAGCGTTTTGTATTGGGGGCGTGGGGGGCTGGTCCACATGAATCCAGCGGAACCTGTGAGCGAGGAGGAGAAGTCGAGCGCTTTCATCGGTCATTATACAGAAAAGACTGCAAGGCCTTTAGTTAGTTTTGGATGAACAAGATCTTCATATGAGTAAGTGAACTCGATCTCAGGCTCTTATTGTGAAACTTTATCCCCTGTTCAAGAAAAGAAAAAAAAAAGCTGCAGGGCCGACGTACACAAAACGACAAGCAGGGAGCATGTTTCCACCCTCAAGGCTGAAAAGGCACCAGGGGAGGGGGGGGGGAGACTCTTTCAGATCGACTTGGCGCTATCTCCCCGAAACAGGAAGTGATGTGCTCACCGAGGTGACCTTTTGCGCGCAATGACGGCAAGGAAAGCAAAGCAAGACTCGCCAACAAACTTATCTCGTAAATAAGTCAGGCTAGCATATGCCGCGTTGAGCCTCGAGTCTCGCATCCCCAAGCGACTTTGGGGACGTCTTTACCCCGGAACGTGGACGCATCAGCGGCTGTTTGTCACATTCGCCCGCGGGCCGTCGCGTCACCGCCGCGCTCTCGTCACCGAATCCCTCAAGAAGGTCCGCGGAGAGCCGCAGACGGCGGAAAGAGACGAAAGTGGGCCACGGATGGTTGGCGGCTTTTCCCGAGGACGGGACTTTTTTTTTCTCGTGTTGACGACTTCTTCTCTGGCTCGCTTTTTGATTTGTAGTCCAACCGCTTCCGGCTGATCAGATAAAAAATGACAGGACCATTGAAAGATGTTCCAACCTGTCGGGGAAGCTCCAGAGCTCATCCCACCGCCGCCGCCGCCGCTGCCGGAGTGCGGCGGTGGGACGACGACGCCCTGCAGTCACGAGAGGGAAGATGAATGCGCCGTAAACTTGTGAACTCTCCGCCGAGACCATCAGACACATTAGGCCTGATTTACGAAAGCCTTACGCCTGGAAAAAAAAAAAAAAAGTGGCGGCACACGTGATTGCTCGCACAAAAACGTGTGGAAGCCAATCGACTAACCGGTCGCGCGCGTCTGCCAAACGGGCAAAATAACCCAAACCCGAGACAAATTGCACTGGCTGATTTTTCTGCCCCCCCAGAAGTGCAATTTTGAAGCTTTTGAACGGCGTCAAACTTTGCCCCATCCGATTCCAGCGCGCTCGCGACCAGCAAAATGGAAGAAAAGGCCAATTTTGACGACGGGAGCTTTTTTTTTTTTCAAGCGGATAAAAATTCATTTGAGGTCAGGATCTCTGCCGCCAGGGCGACCCGGCCAAGAGGTCGGTCGGCGAAGCGACATTCTTGCGTCAAAGCGAGAATGTCGCTTCGGGGCTTTCGGGAGACCGCGCGGAAGCTGTAAGACGACAAACAAGCGAAGCCCAATTTTGAAATTTGGAACACGAGGCGGTGTTGCGTGGTTTGCAGCTGGTGCTCCCTCGGGGAACAGAGTGGAAAACTCCAAGTGGAAGAACTTGAGAGACTTTCGCTTTAGTCAGCAGAGTATTCCGTGCCGCGGGCCTATCGAAGCTTGCAAGCTCTTTTTGCAAACTCACGCCTTCGCCAAGGAACAGATGAAACAAGTGTCGTGCAACAACGTGAGGCATAGCAACCGCTTGTGTGTGTGTGTGTGGGGGGGGGGGTTCCACCTGAGGACTGGAGTACTCAAATCAAGCACGACGGTCATCCTCGAAAAAGGGCCATCAAATGTCACTGTCATTAATTTTTTTCGGACCCTGAGAGAGAAGCAGGATATCTATTTCTGGCAACAACATAAAAGAGAGCTCAAGCTCTTCGCCAGAAGTTTTGTGGCTTTGCTGTCAACAAGTGATGCATTTGTTTGCTTCTTCCACTCACAACTTGCAAGTCCATCACTTCCTGTTCGTCAAGCGCGACCTCGGAGCTCTTCGCTAGCTCGGTGCTACTTTGACGCTCGCTTGTTGGCTCCGCGCTCCAAATGTCAGCACTGATCCGTCCGGCGCAAATCAAAACTCGCACGGGAGCGTGTGGAATCTTCAGGTGCGCTTGTGGAATTTGTTTTGTTAGGGGATGGAAATGAGGACGCGGCGTCTTTTTAAACACATGAAGACACACATCACGCGCACATCTCTTTGCTCCGCGACCAAATCGGACTTTTTGGTGCACGGGAGCCACGTTCGACCGGGTCACGGTGACCCGGTCGGGGGGCCTGCATAGGTGTGATCGGCGTGTGTTTTAGCCGCTAATGAAGGCGCCGGCAGGTGAGATGGGCCAGCTAATGAAGACTTGAAATGTCGCAAGTGTGCTCTCCGTCCTAATGACTTTGTAGCCTGCGGGCGGGCCTCAGAGGTTTCCCTTTGAGGAACCGGTCCGGCCTGTGTTTTAGTGCCGCTAATAGCCCGGGCCTGATTGTGAGCGGGGGTCTACTTTGTCATTTCCTACCAGCGCGCCGTGCCTCCGCTTTGATGACGGGCCAGATTACGCCGGCTTTGAAATGTGCCTGTGAAGAGCTCACCTCACTCGCTCGCTCCCCCGCGTTGACATCGACGCCGCATCCCGAACGTGAAAGGTGGCGGCCGTGGCGATCGCAGGTCGACCCCCCCCCCCCCCAAAAAAAAAAAAGTCTCAAGAAATGCATGTCATTTTAGGATCCTTCTGTCATTTGCTTGGTGACCTTCAAATTTGGGGAAAATATAGCCGCTAAGATAGTTGTTAGGCATGTTTATCATGGACAAAGCCACAAAAAATAAAAAATAAAAAAACTGTCTCAAGAAGCATCGCCCCAAGAGAAACAGGAACTCTGCCATTTTTGCTTTGAAGCTGTTATTTTCAGCTGGGCTGCGCTCATTTCCACGGCTCAATCGAATGTTTGAAACTTCAGCAACGTGATAGTTGGTCACCGTGTTGATCATGAGATGACCCACAAAAAAAACCAAAGCCTCAAGTAGCAACGCCGAAAGAGACACAGACAGAAAGTCTGCCATCTTAGGGTCACTTGGGCCCTTTCCACATGACGTTTCATCCGAGTGATTTTAATTCCTCCCAAATTTGAAGAAGTGCAGCTTTTGCGTAACTGCGGGTGGCCAGCAAAGTTTGGACTCAGAAGCGCACCTGGTTACATCGCGCAGGCCAAAGACTCTTTTGCCACAAGCCCCAACGTGAACTTCACCCCTCAGCCCTCCGAGGAACCTCCCCCGCCCTCTTTGCTTTGACGTCCGTCGCACCTCTGCGACATCCTCGATCCTTTCGCACGGCGCGGGCGCACTGGGAATCATTTCGAGTGATCCCTCTGAGATTGAGGAGTGCAAGTTTTTGGAAGGATGAGCGGGGCGGGGGGAAGCGGGGGGGG